CTCAGGGCTGGGAGGGCATTTGAGACTGACCCGCCCACATAGGTGTGGAGATTAGGGACCAGAGAATAAGGACTCCCAGCCGTTTTTTAGAAGGGCACATCTGAAGGCCATCGCCCTTGTTCTGCCTCAGGTGTGACCCTGGACAGGTACCTCTCTGCTGTGGACCTCAGTTTCTCTGCTGGTATTAATAGGGATGTTGAATCCATGGCTCCTTCTGGCTCTTGATCTATCCATATAGGGGGCTTGAGTTGGGATCGTAGGGGCAGAGGTGGCAGATGGGAAGAGACAGGTCTTTTTTTTTTTTTTTTGAGTCAGAGTCTCACTCCATTCCCCAGGCTGGAGCGCAGTGGCACGTTCACGGCCACCCCAGCATCTACCCGCTGGGCTCCAGCCATCCTTCTGCCTCAGCCTTCCAAGGAGCCAGAACGACAGGTGCACGCTACCACGCCTGGCTGGTTTTTGATTTGTTGTAGAAATGAGGTCTCACCAAGTTGCCTGTGCTGGTCTCGAACCTGGGGGTTCAGACAATCCTCTCACCTCAGCCTCCCAAAGTGCTGGGATGACAGGCTGAGCCACCGAGCCCGGCCGGCAAGAGACAGTTCTTCACCTACCCTCTGCCCCTGCAGGTGACCTTCTGTGATCCTGTCATCGAGAGGCGGCCCCGGCTGCAGAGGCAGAAACGCGTCTTCTCCAAACGCAGAGGTGCAGCGGGGCGGGAGGCTGTGTGTGGACAGCGCAGGGCTGGGGCCGTCGGGGGCCCCGGGCCTGAACTCCCTCTTGTCCCCAGGCCAGGACTTCCTGAGGGCTTCCCAGATGAACCTCAGCATGGCAGCTTGGGGGCGCCTGGTCATGAGCCTCCTCCCCCCCTGCAGTTCCCCAAGCACGATCAGTCCCCCCAGAGGGTGCCCTCAGACCCCGAAGATGCCCCGGGAGGCCTCTGAGCCCGCCTCCCCCAGGTGAGGGGCCACCTTGCCCCGAATGCATGCAGCCCCGGCGGCTGCCTCCGTCTGTCCCCGTCGCTCAGCCCCCGTCCCTCTCGGTCTCTCTGCGTGGCTGTGCATCTGTCCCGCCAGCCCTTTCATCTGCCTGTGCCGGGCCTTGTCTGCTTCCTCCCCACAGTAGCTTCCTGCCCAAGAAGACCCCCTTGGGAGAAGAGATGGATCCCCCACCCAAGCCCCCGCGCCTCTACCTGCCCCAGGAGCCAACCCCCGAGGAGACTCCAGTGAGGGGCCTGCGGGACTGGTGGCCCCTGGGGGTTCCCTGGGGTGGGGGTGGCAGGACTGGAGGGAAGGAGGGCGGGAAGCCTGGCCCTCCCTTGCCCTGAACCCCTCTGCCCTCGCAGCGTACTAAACGTCCCCACATGGAGCCCAGGACTGGACACGGGCCGCCTCCACCAGCCTTCCCTGCCAGGTACCCCTGTCCGGCGCGTGTCATGGATGACGTGTTCGTCTGCCGACTCGAGAGCATATTGTGTATCTTCATTGTTTTGTTTTTGTTTTAATCAATTATTTTTATTATGATTTTGTGGGATGCAGTTAAGGGTTAGATGTACAATTACGTTTCATTCAGGCACCCTGTTGATAAGAGGTGTTTCCCCATCCCCAGACAGATATTTGCGACTGTTAATCCCATCCCTCTCCCCCCCTTCATTGTTTTTATTATTTTATTTTATTTTTTTGAGTTGGAGTCTCACTCCGTCGCCCAGGCTGGAGTGCAGGGGCATGCTCACGGCCACCCCAGTGTTGACCTGCTGGCCTCTGACGATCCTTCCGCCTCAGCCTTCCGAGTGCCGGAAGGCACACAGTGCCGGAACTACAGGCACTACCACTCCCGGCTAATTTTTTGACTTATTTTAGAGGCAAGGTTTCACCATGTTGCCCGGCCTGGTCATGAATGTGTATCTTTTTTAAGTTGATGAATTTTTTTTTTTGAGTTGGAGTCTCACTCTGTCGCCCAGACTGGAGTGCAGTGGCTGCTCCTGGCCACCGCAGCCTCCCCCTGCTGGGCTCCGGCGATCCTTCCACCTCAGCCTTCCAAGCAGCCGGAATTACAGGCACGCTACCACGCCCGGCTGATTTTTTGATTTATTGTAGAGATGAGGTCTCGCTGCCCAGGCGGGTCTCGAACCCTCAGGCTCAGGCAATCCACTCACCTCAGCCTCCCAAAGGCGTGGGATTACAGGCTGAGCCACCGAGCCCGGCTGATGAATTATTTTTTGAGTCGGGGTCTCACTCTGTTGCCCAGGCTGGAGTGCAGTGGCACAATTACAATTCATGGCAGCCTCTGACTCCTGGGCTCAAGCGATCCTCCCGCTCAGTCTCCTGAGTAGCTAGGACCACAGGCATGCACCGCCATGCTGGGTTCACCTTTTAATTTTTCTGAAGAGACAAGGTCTTGCTATGTTTCCCAGGCCGGTCTTGTACTCCTGGACTCAAGCAGTCCTCCTGCCTTGGCCTCCCGAAGTGCTGGGATTACAGGCACGAGCCACCTCATCCAGCTTTGTGTATCCACTCTGTGGCTCCTTGGGTCTACAACCTGACTGGCTCTCAACTTCTTACTTGTTGAATCCTTGTTATTGAGCTCCCGCTGTATGCCAGACTCCAGGAAACTGCTGTTCTCAGAGCCCCATATGTGGGGACAGCCCAGGCCTGAGTATGGAGGGCTTGGAGTAGCTCTGGGTAGAACCACCCTTTGCCGTAGGTGCTTCCCGTGTCCTCTTTCTCTTGCAGGAAACCTCTCCGGCTCCAGGACTTCCGCTGCTTGGCTGTGCTGGGCCGGGGACACTTTGGGAAGGTAATGGGCTCATTCGCTGGGATGACACTGTGATCCGTGGGGGTGGTGGGTAGGGGAAGCAAAGGCTCCCTGGTGGAGCCAAGAAGAGTCCAGCCTCTCTCTGGTCCTCAGGTCCTCCTTGTCCAGTTCAAAGGGACCGGGAAGTACTACGCCATTAAAGCGCTGAAGAAGCAGGAGGTGCTTGGCCGGGATGAGATAGAGAGGTGTGTGGGCGTCCCAGGAGAGCACAGGGGTGGCTGGTCTGGGCTGTCTGGAAGGCGCCGGAGCCTCCTGGGGTTTTGGACAGGTGACCCTATGGAACCAGGCAGGCTTGTTTTTTTTCTGTTTTTTTTTTTTTTAAGTCAGAATCTCCCTCTGTCGCCCAGACTGGAGTGCAGCGGCACACTCACAGCCACCGTAGCCTCAACCTACAGGGCTCAGGTGATCAATCCTTCCGCCTCGGCCTTCCAAGTAGCTGGAACTATAGGCACGTGCCACCACGCCTGGCTAATTTTTTGATTCATTGTGTAGGATGATTTCTCACCAAGTTGCCTAGATTGATCTCGAACCAGCAGGCTCAGGCAGTCCTCTCACTTCGGCCTCCCAAAGTGCTGGGATTATAGGCGTGAAGTTTTTTTTTTTGAGTTGGGGTCTCACCTGTTGCCCAGGCTAGAGTGCAGTGGTGCACTCATGGCCACCGCAGCCTCGACCTCCAGGCTCAGGCAATCCTTCCTCCTCAGCCTCCTGAGTAGCTGGGACTACAGGTGTGCACCACCATGCCCGGCTAATTTTTTTAGAAACGAGGTCTCCTATGTTGCCCAGGCTGGTCTTAAAACTCTTGGGCTCAAGCAATCCTCCTATATCGGCCTCCCCCAAAATGCTGGGATTGCAGGTGTGGGCCACCGTGCCTGGCTCTTTCTGGCACCTGCAGTGGCCATCTGCCCTTGGGCAGGTCCCCTCTTCTCCCTGAGCGTCCATTTGCCATACTGTATTGTGAGCAGCACCCCCAGGCCCCCTCAGTCCATGGCCCACGTGTGTGCCTCCTGGGTCAGCACCTCAGGGTTGTGCAGGTCAGCAACCTGTGTGAGCTCTCAACATGGAAAGTGTCACTCTACCCACATGGCCCTTCGCTGAGGCCCAGTGAGCCCTGTGTGGGGGCAGGACACAGCCGAGGAGGTTTTCCTTTCCTCTGAGACCCCCGCCCTCCCCTGCAGCCTGTACTGCGAGAAGCGGATCCTGGAGACTGTGGGCCGCACGGGGCACCCTTTCCTGCTCTCTCTCCTCGCCTGCTTCCAGACCTCCAGCCACGCCTGTTTCGTGACTGAGTTTGTGCCCGGTGGTGACCTCATGATGCACATTCACGAGGACGTGTTCCCTGAGCCCCAGGCCCGGTGGGTTTCCGTTCCTCTGGCCAGCGTCTTCCGGCAGACTTTTCCTGGTTCCCCTTACCTACGTCCTGCTTCCTCCAGGGTGCCCGCTGGAAGAGGAGCAGGAGTCAGAGAGGCCCTGGTTCACACCCTGGGATCACAGCGTGTGTGCCCCTCGGCGCCAGTTAACGAAACTGTGAACTGGGCTTCTGATAACCATTTCATAGCATTGCCTAGTGCAGGGGCTGGAGTTATTTTTCCCTCTGGTATAGGTTCTGGAGTTAGAAAGACCTGAGTTGGCTTATCAGCCCTGTTACTTGCTGTGTTCCTCTGGGCAGGTCACTTGCCTGGTGTCTCAGATCCTTATTTGAAAAATAGGCATGATGTGGGCATGGTGGCTCACACCTATAATCCCAGCACTCTGGGAGGCTGAGGTGGGAGGATTCCTTGAGCCCAGGAGTTCGAGACCAGCCTGGGCAACATAGTGAGACTTTGTCTCTACAAAAAAGAAAAAAAAAAATTAGCTGGGTGTGGTAGTGCATACCTGTAGTCCCAGCTACTCGGGAGGCTGAGGCAGAAGGATCACCTGAACCCATGAGGTGGAGGCTTCAGTGAGCCATGATCCAGCCTGGGTGACAGAGTGAGACCCCAACTCAAAAAAAAAAAAAAAAGAAAAATAGGCATAATGAGTATCAACCACAGTCTGCTGTGTGCAGGACAGCTGGCATGGTCCCTGGCACAGGTTAAGAACCCAGGAAAGGTAGGCCAGATGGGCACAGCAACCTTGTGATGACCTTGGAACCATTGTGTGGAGAAGCCTCCCAACTTAGGCCTGAGGCTCCGCCCAGTCTCACAGGGACAGCCTGGTGCCTCCTTGCCCTGCCTCCCTGGTCCCTGTCCAGGGTCTGAATTCTCCCATGACCACCTCTCCAGCTTCTACTTGGCCTGCGTGATCCTGGGGCTGCAGTTCTTACACGAGAAGAAGATCATTTATAGGTAACTTGTCCCAGGGATGCCCAGGGGTGGTGGGGTGGGCTGGAGCAAGCTCTGCCCTCTTCCTGGGCTGCTCGGGGCAGCTGCTGGTCCTGGGTCTCGGCCCTTCTCAGCCCCCTTAATCTGCACCCCCTGCCCTCAGGGACCTGAAGCTGGATAATCTTCTGCTGGATGCTCAGGGTTTCCTGAAGATCGCAGACTTTGGGCTGTGCAAGGAAGGTGGGATTGCCTGTCAGATCTGTGTCCCCGCATTGCCCACCCAGCCCTGGGAGGTGGCATTTCCCAGATCTCCCCACCCACAGACGCCCTGGTTCCGCCACCCCAGGCCTCTTTCCGGGGCACAGCTGGGCACGTTGGCCCTCTCTTCCCAGCCCTAGGGATGCGTGGGGAGCCCGGCCTGTGCTTAGCCAGAGGGAGCGGCTGTGGTCAGGACTGGGTTCCGCCTTCTGTGTGACCTTGGCACGTGCACTTGGCTGACTTGGGTTCCTTAGTCAGATGGCATCATAACCGTTCCTGCTGCCCAGGGCGCAGGGCAGGGCTTGGCATGGACCGGGGCTTCCGGGATCCTAAGGGTTGGCTGTTGCGAACGGGACACATTGAGCAGGTGTCAGTGTGCATACTGGTTTGCAGGGATTGGCTTTGGGGACCGGACGAGCACCTTCTGTGGCACCCCGGAGTTCCTGGCCCCTGAGGTGCTGACCCAGGAGGCATACACACGGGCCGTGGACTGGTGGGGGCTGGGCGTGCTGCTCTATGAGATGCTCGTGGGCGAGGTGAGTGCTCGGATGGGACGGGACTGCGGGGTCCCTGGAGTGGGGGTTGGCCCACCGAATCCTGTCTCCGTCTCCTTAGTGCCCGTTCCCAGGGGACACTGAGGAGGAGGTGTTTGACTGCATCGTCAATTCAGATGCTCCGTACCCCCACTTTCTGTCAGCACAAGGGCTGGAGCTCATTCAGAAGGTGAGTGCCTAGCCAGGTATGGTGGCTCACACCTGTAATCTCAGCACTTTGGGAGGCTGAGGCGGGAGGATCGCTTGAGTCCAGGAGTTTGAGACCAGCCAGGGCAACATAGCAAGATCTCCTCTCTACAAAAAGTGGAAAAAAAAAAATAAGCCAGGCATGGTAGTGTGCACCTGTAGGCCCAGCTACTTGGTAAGCTGAGGCGGGAGGACTGCCTGAGCCCAGGAGGTCAAGGTGGTGGTGAGCCACAGTCATGCCACCGCACTCCAGCCTGGGTGACAGAGTGAGACCCAGACTCAAAAACAAACAAAAATGACACAAGAAAAAGAAGTGTGTGCTGCAGCATCCAGGGCTCGTGTGCCCTTGGCTGTACGTCCTTGGTCACCTGGGGAGGCGGGCAGTGCCTGGGCCCTAGCGAGCACTGGTTCTCCTGCCCAGCTCCTCCAGAAGTGCCCAGAGAAGCGCCTGGGGGCGGGTGAGCAGGACGCAGAGGAGATCAAGATCCAGCCATTCTTCAGGGTGAGTAGCCAGGCTGGCAGTGGCCTCCAGGCAGGGTGGGCGGCGTGGAGTGACCCCTGGGGGCTGCTGTGCCCACCACTATCTCAGGCACCTCTGCCCTTGCCCCTAGACCACCGACTGGCAGGCCCTGCTCTCCCGCGCCGTCCAGCCCCCCTTCGTGCCCACCGTCTGCGGCCCCTCGGACCTGCGCTACTTCGAGGGCGAGTTCACGGGGTTGCCGCCTGCCCTGACCCCGCCTGCGCCCCACAGGCCCCTCACTGCTCGGCAGCAGGCCGCCTTCCGGAACTTTGACTTTGTGTCGGAGCGATTCCTGGAGCCCTGAGGGCCTCTCCTGGCCCTTCCACCTGGCCCCCCCGAGACTTTGAGAGTCTGTTGGCGTCCTGCGGAAGCTGGCCCGGGCCTTGCCTGGTATTTATGAGCCCGTGGGACTCGGGGTGGCAGCCATGGGGCTGCTGCATGGGCTTGGCCCAGCGTCGCTGAGCCAAGTGTGTCCCCTCCCCCTTCCAGCGAGACCTAACCCAGAAAGGGGGCCGCATGAGGAGTGGTTTGGTCTGTCTTTTTAATACTTGACTTGCTCTGTGGATTATTAAATGGGTAAAAGTGCACTGGGGACAGCCTGCTCACAGGCCCTCTTCCTGGGAAGGCTGAACTGCCCGCTGAGGCAGGGATTCTGCCCTGAAGTGCTGCCTGGTGGCCTGGCAGGAGCAAGCTGCCCCGGGCTCCCCGCAGGCTGGCCTCAGCTGGGGGCAGGCCCCCGGTTTTCAGGCCCAGGATGGCAGCCCTCCTCGGTGGCCCTAAACTGCCTGGCTGCGGCCCTCCTCCTCCTCCTCGGCCCAGAGGGCCTCCCAGGACCCCGAGGGCCATCCGCAGAAGAAGCGGGCCAGGTTGCGCGTCAGACCCCGGTCGAAGGGGTTGCCCGGGCGCTGGCGGAGGTAGGCGATGCGGTGTGAGGAGATGAACTCCCAGGTGGTGGTGTTGCTGGCGACCAGGTAGAGGTGTGAGGCCAGGAGCAGGCCGGCCACCAGCGAGAAGAGGGACAGCAGCAGGAAGGTGGCAAACAGCAGCCCGCTGGACCGCAGCCACAGCCCCCAGGGCTGAAAGAACCGGAGGCCTGACCTGCGGGCAGGGACAGGGGCCCGGAGCTGCGGGGGGCACGTGCTCCCTCCGTCCCCACGCTGGTCCCAGGAGCCCTGGCTCCGCCCATACCTCCACCCTCCCTGACGCCCGGGCAGCAGCACCTACCACGCCAGGTACAGGCCCCACAGAAGCACCACCAGTTGCAGGGCCAGGTAGACCACGAAGAGCGGGTGGTTGCGCTCGCCCACGCAGTTCTCCATCCAGGGGCAGTGGTGGTCGTAGCGGCGGATGCAGCGGCGGCATTCACGGCAGTGCCGGGCACGCAGGGGCTGCTGTGGGCACGAGGGGGAGTCCGGCCTCAGCGCTGGCCTTCCTGGGGGCCACCACTGAGGGCGGGGATCAGGGCCTGACTTTGGGAGGCCTTCTTGGCAGAGGGTGAGGCCCAGGCACTGGGGCGGCAGGAGGTGAGGAAGTTTCAGCTTCACCCCAACCCCTCCCACGGGGTCCCTTGTCACCCACCAGCACCAGGCAATATCTGCAGCGCCGAAGAGGGATGGCCTGGGGGACCATGGCTGTCTGCTCCTCCTTGGGCTCCTCCTGGAGAGGAGAGACAGGACGTGAGACGGGGTTCCCTTGGGAGGCAGATGGCACTGGTGGGTGGGGAGGATGTGGGACCCATCCCATGCAGATTGGAGGTGTGGGGTGGACCGAGGGAGGCTGTGTGACATTTGCAAGTCGCTCCCCCTCTCTGGGCCTCGCAATATCCTCACTGTAGAATGGGGTTCTCGGGCTGGCAAGAGCATTCGTGGCGATGCCCCCAAAAGCCTGCGCTCGGGGCCTGGGGTGGTCTGTGTCTGGTCTTGGGTCCCTGTTGGCAGGTGCAGGGCCTCGGGCCCCGGGGCCCCTGGTTACCTGGGGCTGAGGCAGTGCATTCACGTAGCCTGGGTCCATTAGCGACACAGCCAGGTAGAGCAGCAGGGAGCCCAGCACCAGGAGCAGGAAAGTGAGGGGCAGGAGCAGCTCCCCCTGCTCCTCCCACTGCCGCAGCTCTGGAGAGGCCAGGGAGGACAGTGAGGCCAGGGCTGCACAGGAGGGGTGGGGCTGGGGTGCGGCGGGAGGAGGGGAAGTGTGTTCCCGGCTGAGCAAAGGCGTGGAGAAGGGGTCCCAGGAGCGGCTCTGTGGCCAGCAGCACTATTTGGAGGGTCACGGGGAACCATGGAGGGCCGCAGGACAAGAGCTGTTCCCTAGAACCCTCCTGCTGCTGGAGAAAGCAAGGATCAGAGGGAAGCCTGGAGGCAGTCTGCCCGGGAGGAAGAAGAAAGTGGCTGAACGAGGCCCCAGCGGGAGAGGAGAGAATGGAC